AGAAGAAAGGTAAAGTGAAGTTTGAAGAAAGTGAATGTTCAAGTGAAGTCGAAAAGGTTACTCTATGAAGAAAACTCACTCTTTAACATTATCTTGAGTGTTAAACCAATAAGGAATATTGAAAAGGCTACTCTGTGAGAAAACTCACTCTTTAACATTATTTTCAATGTTAAAGCAATAAGAAATATTGAAAAGGCTACTCTGTGAGAAACTCACCTGATGTTGATTTTTACACTAACACGACATCACACTGATAATTGCTGCTCTAATGCGAATTTGAACGAACAGTACTGCCCGTGATTTCACCCTTATTTATTGACAGATTCCCACCCCCAGGTTGGGTGGAGTTTGAGTCAAATTTTCCCCCGATTCTTCGCGTAGGGAGGAGCTTGTAATAAGCTCAAGCCCTGATTTGTACGAATTTGAGAAAGTTCTCATTGGGCGGTAGAACGACGTACTTTAATAGGATGATCGGAATTTGGGTCAGCTTTTGTACATAAAAATCTTCCCTTTTAAACTGACGGGCGATGCCCTTGGAACGGTCCTCAATAGCTCGGCATCATATCCTACCGCTACTGTATATGTCAACCTTTATCTGCACTTCTTCTATGCCCACTTAGGTGGTCGTTTAGAATTTATTGGTTTCGTTATTTAGTTACGTCTTACACATATGGCCTAGTCTGTATATATACGGTCTGATTCTATATACGGTCTGTAACATATTCAATACAATTCAAATACGAAGAATCACTTCATATAGTGGCAATTCAAGTGAGCGTCTATTTACTGGGTATTTTCTGAATTTTCTCCTGTGACTACTATCTCATCATCTTCCAAGATTTCTATAGCCAAATTTTCCATCATCACCTCTTGCCCATTGCTTGAATTATAACATTATACACTATATCTCAAATCTGTACAACTTTATCTGAATATGTATTTTCTTTAAGCCGCGGAAGTATGGCAATAGCATGACTGCTTAGGCGGCAATAATATCTGATACTAGCATTCGCCCGTACCCACTAACGGCGAAATTTGGTCCGCAAGTCCAGATCTGCAGATTTATTTTGTACGAAATTCGCATCGAGTTGTATCTGGCTCTTGATTAACCATTAACGCACCGATATTTCTTCGAACTTGCCTCGCCACGTATCAGATAGGACAGATTTTTCGCTCGTGTATCGGGCGCTTGCGAGTTCACTGGACAATTCGCAGCTAAACCCTTGCGTCTTTAGGCCCTAGGTTCAAATGCAAAGTGTGCGATCGCTACGACTTGTGCGACAACTGTTTCTATACCAAGAGGAACCACGGCCACAGTTTTGTGCGCGTTCAAGAACCGGGGAGTCCGGAAATTTATGCAGGCAAAGCTGGCCGGTGAGTATGGAGGGACGGTTTGATTAAAATGACTTTCCTTTTATCCATATGTATGAAATGTAATTATTAAATTTCTATTGCGGTGTCTGTTTCAGCTACTACCGCCAAGACACCACAGAAACAGAAGGCGAAGTGACAACGGAATGGAATCGAATCGTAAAAAACGTGACGTTTTCCTCAAAGTGTGGAGTTCGATTCGATCTGCCCGGCTCGGTTTGGCAGAGCAACGGATCCCAAGGGAAGCACTGGATCAGGCTGGAAATCTGCCCCAACGTGACCGTTAAAAGCTTGAAAATCGGCGTCGACCCCTATGATAACAGTTACATGCCTTCGGTGATCGTCGTTAATGGCAAGTGTTACAGCGAATCCGTGGATTCCGGTCTAATTGGTCGATTCCTGCAGGAGGAAGCAGTGTAAACGCGCTGTTCAAGCTGAACTCTGTATCAGTCAAAAACCAGGACACGTCCGTTCAGCTGCTGTCCAACGTTGAAAAGTACTACCCGATTATCGAAATCAACATCACCAAGTGCCGGAACAACGGCATCGATTGCAAGATCCATGGGATTTTTATAGCTGGTGTCAAAAGGCATTGCATTGAGGACTTTCGGACGTCCGTGTCCTTTCTGGCTAATGATTGGGACTTGAATGAGGACGCAATTCCTGCACCGACGGTAATCAATGATCAGTTGAACAGTCCCGGTTCGAAATCGGCATGTTTTTTCAGACAGTTAACATGTACCGGGACGACTTCTGTACTCCCGGCAGCACGTCGGGATGTAAGGTGTTTGTATGGGGCTTGAACGACAAGGATCAATTAGGTGAGTTCTCATATCTCAACAAACTCATTCAAAATTTCCTTCTCGCACAAACTCATTCAAACACTTCCAGGTGGTATGAAAGGCTCCAAAGTGAAACTGCCCATTCAATCCGATTTCCTCAGTCAACTTGCACCCGTCGACATGGCTGGCGGGTCCAAATCGCTCTTCATAGTGTCTCAGCAGGGAAAGGTATGCAAGAAGCCCAATTTGTGCAGTTGAGAGACTAGTAGAACTATTTCCATTATAGTTATACGCATGTGGAGAAGGTACGAATGGCCGCCTCGGTTTGGGTCATAGTCTGAACATTCCGCATCCGCGGCCTGTGCCATTCCTAAGCCAGTATGTTGTGAAGAAAGTGGCGGTGCATTCTGGCGGCAAACATGCCATGGCGCTCACGATGGACGGCAAAGTGTTTTCGTGGGGCGAAGGCGAGGATGGAAAGTTGGGTAAATATCCATCTAGGTTTCAGTGTCGCCGCCAATGGCCGAGACCGGACGGTTTTAGGGCATGGCAACAGGCTCAACCTGGACAAGCCAAAGCTGATTGAAGCCCTGAAGAGCAAGAAAATTCGGGATATTGCGTGTGGCAGTTCGCATTCGGCAGCCATCTCCAGTGGCGGTGAATTGTACACTTGGGGATTAGGGGAATATGGTAGATTGGGGCATGGAGACAATGTCACTCAGCTTAAACCCAAAATGGTAAGGATTCGGGCGAAGACATATTTTTCGCAAACCTTGCAAAAGTTTCATGTAACCGGTTGTAACGCCCAGATAGCATTTGATATTCTATGAA